TTTAGTCAAGTCATAGTTGGCAGTGTTTGTCAGTCAGAAAAAAAAAGAATGTTTGGTATTACAAATTAATCTTACAAGTGAAAGTTTTAGTGTTAAAACCCAGTATTCATATTTATAATGTGGATTTACCTGAGTAATTTACAAAGACTTAAACCCTACAGAAACTACAAAATACTACTCTACCTGACGATAATTTATACGAAGGCTGAAACCCAACAGTGGTAATAATTACAGAGATTGCCCTAAATAATTTAAGGACAAGTCTAAAACCCTGCAGCAGTAGTAATTACAAAGACTGCTTTGAGCTACAGTTATGTGTTCAGTGCTCCGATGCTCGATTAATAAATGAAATTAGAAAACTGTTATTGTTCATTGACTGTTTCTGCTACGGAAAAGAAAGCAAGATTTAAAAATAAAATAAATAAATCTTTGCTCAGAAGTGCAAATTTGATCAAATTGTTGAAATCTTGGGCTCAGACAGAAGCTTTCTTCTCTGAAAATGATCTCCTCAGGTGTCGACACGAACACTCTTCCCGACGTTTCAATGTCGAGCAAGCAGAGCTGCAGACCGGACAGGAAGCTGTAAATCCTGCTGACAGACGCTCTGATCAGCTCACTGCTCTCTCTGTGTTCGCCTGACAGACTCCGCTAAGCCTGACTGACAAGACTTCCTGCCGCCTCCTGGATATTTACACAGAGGGTCTTCTGCAGCAGCTTTTTGTCAGAAAAATGACGGGAAATACACCTATAACGGGTAAAAGAATTAAAAAAAAAAAACCCACACTGTGTAGGAAAACGGTGAATAAAGAGAGGCTGACTCACCGGTGGTCCCAGTTCTCCCTGTTTTCCTGGAGAACCTGTTGTTCCAGGTGCTCCCGGGGCTCCTGGAGTCCCCTGAAGAATCAGAATCAGACTTTATTAGCCCACACACCCTGTCACCAGCCGACTGAGGTAAAAATCCTGCAGCTGGACACAAGATTCCTGCAGTAACTTCTTCCTTTATGAGGCTCCGTTTGAGTAAAAACTGATGTAAAGAGGCGCTCATTCTACTTTGTGATCATTTCGCAGTTTGTTCTGTGGTATTCCGGTGAGCGTTTCTGTTATTCACTGATCACATTGCTGTTCATTTACATTAGCACTGTGCAGAAACAGAAACACAAAAATGATGGACAACAAAACACAAAAACTCTGTTTCTATTTCAACACTGCATGAGTTTAAACTGCAATAACATGAACAGACTCACTCAGCAGCAGCACTTCAAGTTGTGTAAAGAGATTTGGACCTTTTCCACATTTCAGCACCAATATTGATCAAAAACATCAGACTAAAAGACACAGCTTGTTGTCAACATTGCAAATCGCCTTTCTCATTCACTTTGCTATGGTGGCTGACGGGGGCAAATGACTTGCATGTACACAAACAAGCTGCATGTACATGAATGCGTTGCATAAACAGAAACGCGCTGCAAAAGGAAAACGCTGCATATACAGACATGATGTATAAATGAAAACAAATGAAAAAAGAAAACGCTGCATATACAGTCACACAACAGAAGTGCCACAGGCCTCTAGGGGCAGTAGTGAGCTTTTCACCTGAGAGGCATGAATAACAGAGAGAACACCACTTCAGCACCCATATCATCACAGTGACCTAAAAGCTAAAGACTGAAAAACTGCCCCTAGAGGCCTGTGACACTTTAGTTGTGCGTCTGTATTTTCAGCGTTTTCCTATTGCAGCACATTTCTGTTTATGTAACACATTCATGTACAGTCATGACTTGACATTCTGACCCTTAACAATCCTAAAACCTTGCTATCCAACAGCTTTTTAGGAAAAACAAACGGAACCCATTAAAAATAGCCTTAACATACCGTCAGCCTTGGATTCTGACTCCAACATGACACTTTATGACACAAATAAGGATAACGGCGTATTATCTGACTTAACAATCTGACAGATTTACTTACCTTTGTTGTCAACCCACAGGCCCATGCACAAGCACACTGGCCAATTAAATGTGAAATCTAGCAATGCGTAGTGTTCTAACAATACACTAGTTATTAGAACAACTATAAACAATAAATATTAACAACAAATGACCCTTCAAGCCCTCCTTGTATCTCGACCTCCGTCTTGACAATCCGACAGCCTTGCTATCCGACATGAAAGAAGGTTTTACATTTAGTGTCAGATTATCGAGTCATGACTGTATATGCTGCACGTCATTCGCCCCCGTCTGCCGTCGTACTTAGCTCTACAGTTTCACATCTGTTACAAAAGAAATGTCCATAAAAATGAAACTTTGAGGTGATAAAGACAGTCTGTAACACGACAGATTAACAATACTCACCATCAAGGAATGCAATCCAGGTTTTGAATACCAGGAGTTTAGTCTGTTGCCTCCAGTTGTTTAGGACTATTTCCTCTGAGTTTATAAAAAAAACAACCTGCAGCAGCAAACAGCAGCAGAATCCGTATGAGCATCTCCAAAGAGATTTGTCTTTTTTTCCCTCTAAGCTGCTGCCCACAGACTCTGCTCTCAGCCTCGGATTTGCGCGTGAAAATCCAAGTACATGGTAACAGTTATGCTTCCATCTCTGAGTCTCTAAGTTTTCCTTGGAATAATCTCCGACAACCACAGTTTCAATTACAATTGACTTTTACGTGTCCGGAGGCAGGACTGCAAACTGCATCCCCATGTTCTCCTTCTTCAACAATCTCTCATACATGACAGATAAATAAAGTTTCAGAATGACTTACGATCGTTCCTGATGGGCCTTGTCTGCCCGGGGGTCCGTCTTTGCCTGGCTGTCCCTGTGAAGATGGAAGTAGATGCCATGATTATGAGGATGTGAGACCTAGTTGCCCCTTTCTACATGTGACATGAAGTTCCTAATGTATCTATTCAAGCCCCAAACCCTCCGCCAGGTTTGGAAGGCAATCCGTCTTTTAAAAAAAATCACAGAATCACACGGTTTATCCAAAAATTGTACAAACAGAAAAAAAGGGTCAGATTTTCAACTTTCAGACAGTCCTCGTACTAATCATGTGCCATTCAGTTGATAAACTTCAACAAATCTAGGCTGAAAATCATGATATCCCATCAAAATCACTCTATATGTCAAACATTTTACCCAAAATTAACTGTGGACACCAGATCCTGTAAAAAAAAAAAAAAATCTGTGCTCCTTGGTGCAACCGGGAATCATGTAACTATATTTACAGTACTGGTAACACCGCTGTGGGACAAACGGTTGTACATGTTTGTTCCATTTTATTCTTTTTTTGTAAAATTTATTTAAAAAAAAAAAAATAAAAAATCAATATCTGTTTATTCTGCTTGGAATTTAGGCCTTGGCAACACGTAGCAGGGTTTTTATAAACACACTTAACCGCATAAGTGTGTTGTTAAGCACATTCATAAGCATGCCAAAGCTTTAGGTGGCAGTAGTTCCCCAATTCCTATCCAGTCAGAGTAAGCTTCTGTCTCACAACAGCAAATAACCGCCCATAACGTTCTTTTGTTGTCTGTGTTCTTGTACACGGAGCAGTATATGGGCTTGTAAAAACAAGCAAGCATAAAGCGCCTGGACAAGAGACCACACCAACCCAGATATATAAATACAGGTTGCATATGTGACGTAAGAACATATTTTGTGGCAGGCAGTGAAAACCTAAAACCCTGGTTATTGACGTCCACATACAGACGCATAAACGGAGCATTCACAAATCTCTGCTTTGGTCGGAGGTTTTTGAAAGAATCCTTTTAAATGCCGTAAATCTGCCCTTGTGGTGGATGACAGGCCAAATCGTAGAACAATATCTTCATTTTGTGAGACACCCTGCTACGTGTGGACAAGGCCTTAGAGGGCTGAGGAGGCTCAGATGGCAGCATGAATGTCTGGATATACCAAGATCAATTAGAATCATTGAATATATTAAAATTATCTTAATACATATCAGACACATTATAATTTGACAACAGTAGAGATAAGTACATAAAGCACATACAGTAGTACTGGTCTGAACTGTGTCAGTACAAGCTGTAGATGTATCCATATTAGCAGTACGATTATCTATATTAGGAGCAGTTTTATTATTGTTCTGTGTGAGAATCGAACCACCGAGGCTGTATGGGTGTTTGTGGTGTGAACAGTGACTCACTCTGGGTCCTGGAGGTCCTTCTCTCCCTGGAGCTCCGGTTCGACCAGCAATTCCCTGAAACGCCGTGAGGAGAGCTGAGGTCACCACAGGTCACATTCACACGTTCAACAGATTCACCATTACGACTCATTACTGGTGACTTTGCCCTATCTCAGGGTTCACCTCCATGGCTTTGCATAACATCTAAAAAAGCACCTGTCTTTGTATTTATCTTCTTGCAAAAAGCAGCGAGATTGAAGCTCGCTTTACTGCTACAAGCTGAAAAGCCAAAAATCAACCTTTTGCACATTGAAACAGACCTAAAAAAAACTCACATCTGTTTGCTTCCAAAAGGTCACATTCGTCCCCGTTACTTACAGCGGCAAAGTAATTACTTTAAGGAGGCTGTTTTTAAGCAGCAGGACTTTTCTTTTATCTCAAACTAAAATAATTGAAAGAAAAGAAAATTGGAATTCTGCTCAGAATTTCACACCAACCCTGACAAGGTGGAAACCTGCTTTTCATACAATGTAAAAAAAAAAAAGAAAGAAAAGCTGTTACAAAATACTGTAAAATGACAAACAGTAAACGTCTCATAAGAATTATAATTAATGAAAATTAGTAATTTTTCATGACTGTACATACACAGTGGATATATAAATATATATTTATACACACTAATATAATGATATATTGCACTGATTTCAAATGCTTATAGATATCATGCTCTGATGAAAGCGCATTAATTCAGCATTGTGAATGTGAAAGTGTTTGTATTTATACAAGATCTTCCTCATTTAACAAATGTACGTGAAATCACAAAACCAAACCTTCTTTTTCTGTTAACTGCCACTAATTGTGCGGAATTTTACAGATATATTTAAAGTAATAAACCTAAATTTCACACTTTCATTCATGAAATAAGACGAAAAAGGCAATATCTTTCCATTTGTTTTTCAAAAATGTAAATTAAATTGCTATTCAAAACTTGCAGGTTTTTCTTACCTGTAGATGGCAAACATTGACAATTAAGCATTGTCAGTGGACAGTTCAAATAATATCAGAATCAATGCAACAGAACCAGAGGAATCATCGGTTTATTTCACTTAGATATTACGTGTCTCATGTGGCCTGGAGCTGATAGCTTCAAGGAGAGTGGAGGAAGAGCTGCTCATGCCAGATTTTGTTTCATATTTCTGAAGCTGGACCTCTAAAACTTTCAACAAACCTAGAAATTAATGTGCATCTTTGTGTTTTAAAGGGAACTGTTTTACCTGTAAGTGGTGCAGATTCGACGCAAACTCCGAGTCCACAACTTTATATTTTACTTTTTATTTTGCGTTCAAGTTTAGGGTTTAAATTTGTTTTGTTTGTGGACATTTTCGTGTGTTTCAGAAAAAGGGAAAATTATTTATTTGTACAGTGTATGCTGAGTGACAGGAGCATAGTGAGCAGCAACGACTGCGGATGTTTAAAATTCAATATGAAGAAGGTGTTGAGTGTTGTGTGAACAGTTCTTACCTGTGACCCTTGTTGTCCAGCCTCACCTTTCTGCCCCCTCTCACCTGGAGAGCCCTGAGGGGGAAAATTGTACTTTCAATTCCAGGTGAAAAAAAAAAAAAAACCCACAAGAAATGCTTTTTAATCACCTCAGAAATGTTTCCTGCCTCAGGACTCATTTCTTTGTTTATAGCAGACTTGACCCTCGTGATGCTCAGTTTTCTGTCCTCCTAAAAAAACCACTGGCTTGTGTTCATTTAAGAATTCATGTCAAAGGTCCCATACTGTGAAAATTAGTTTTGTATGTCTTAAAAACTCAATTAGATGGCCTCTCAGCCTTATAAACCAGATACACATTTAGTTTGTACGTAGAAACTGATGTCATCGAGATAAAAATGTGCATAATCCTGCCCCCTCACTGTGAACCATTCAGAATGAGCAGCTGCCTCACAGTCCACAGGGTTTATTTTCTTTCTAGAGCTGCTTCTGCTAACTCTGAAATGTCTCGAGCAAAACACACCAAACATTCCGCTGTTGGCTGCAAGAGTGAACATAAGAGTCTTCATGCACTCCCAGCATCTGAGGAACTAAAGAACTCGTGGATTACTGTTATTATTGATTATAGACTAATGTGGCTAACGTTAGCCTTGATGGTATGCTCACAGGTCTGTGGAAACTGTAATGCTGAGGGACATTCAAAGATGCTAAAGACTTTAATTTGAAACCACAAAACAAGCTGTGCTGTGAATTTTGTGCTATTTCCATGTCACATGATGTAAGTCCTGGTTTCACACTCATTCATGTGAGCTGGCTGTCGTGTTGCCAACTGTGTTGCTCTGTGCTGTCAATCACAGAGTCTTCTTCCTGAAGGGGTTGTGGACAGCAGCAGATGAGTTGCATTTAAAGCTACAGACACTGAAACAGCCTGCTTAGAACACAGCAAAACCAGGAGATACACAGTCACAGTGATTTCAAGCATCTTTGCTGTGTTTTGAGCTGAAAAACTAAAGGATAAGTTCTATGAACACGTGAATTTTTTTGATTAATTTGCTGAAGAAGTGTCAGAATGTGGGACCTTTAAGTTTTTGCTTTTAGCTTGTATCGTAATTTCCGGACTATTGAGTGCCCCTGAATATAAACCGCACCCAGTAACTTCAAAAAGGAAACAAATTTTGTACATATACAGGTTGTACTTGTCTATACGCTGCAGGTGTCCACGTTGTAACATGAGATATTTACACAGAGTTTCTTAACTTTTAATTAAAAACGTACCAGCAACATACGCAAATACATAATGTAAATGCTTTTTCTGACACGGCTGGTTAAAAAAAAATAAAGAACACAGGAAAAAATACCAGGAAAAGTCATTGATGGCTATCTTCATCTTCCTCTTGCACACCAAAACCACGAAAGTCGTCTTCTTCAGTGTCGGAATTGAACAGCCTCAGAACTACTTCATCACACACTTCCTCAGTCTCTCTTTTGTTGTCGCTCTCAAAGTCACTTTCGTCTCGAGGCAAATTTGTAAAACTCATAGAAATCCATAAATTAATTTAGTTTCCTGTAATTCACTTTTATCAGACCTATTGTTGACCTGTCTTATGGACTTTTATATATATCATTAACTCGTGTTTTATCATTTCATCACATTATTTTGCATGAACTGTTTCATACAGGTAGCATATTATTGTTGAAGATGGATGTGTCCTACCGGAGGTCCAATGATGGAGCGTCCGCTGGGTCCTTGAGGCCCCGGCGGCCCCTGAGGTCCTGGTACACCTGTTTCACCAGCTGGACCGGTCGGGCCCTAAAGACAGAGCAACAGAAGGATGCAGAAAGTGTCAAAAAAAGACAGACGGACATGTGTAGTCGAGATTACTGTGAGAATCTTACAGCACAACAACACGGGCTCAAACACAGCAGTGACAATGACAACAGACCTATAAAACCTCGTCCAACATGCTCTGCTAAAGTTTCAGAGGATGTAATCTCCTGATGGTCATTTTAAATTGTCTAAACATTAGTCCGAGTGCCTGAAGTGTCTTGAGATAATAATAATGAAGAAGCTTCCACCTCTTCAGTCTGTGTGGGTGTGTTTGGTAGCCGAGCAGCTGAGGGACTTTCCAGAGGCCACTGGCTCCCACAGACATGTAACTACGAGAAAGAAATCCAGACAGCTGCAGAAAGAGCGTCTGGGATCACAAACGTAGTTATAAATGTCGGGACGGACCACAGTGTTGCAGGTGAGTCCAGGCTGAACCCACTGATGGGCAGAACCAAAGTGAATTGCAGAGAAGGGAGCTGGAGGAATGGAAGCAGGTAGCTCGTTTCAGAAATGAAGCGGAGGAAAAAAATAAAACCCCAAGAAACGCTGAAAAACCATATTTTTTTGTCTTAGTTGCAAAACCAAAATTCGAACAACTGTTAAAAAAAAAAAATCTAAAATATTGAATACTGAAGATATTCAATATTGAATTTCCCTTCTGGGATAAATAAAGTATTTTTCATTTCATTTTTCATAATGAAAATAAATAAATAAATCTTATACTCCACTTTTGGGTTGTGGTGATTCCATTTTTGTCCTTTTTTTTTTTTTTTAGAAAGCAAAAACAGAAGCCACATGGATCTTTTATCCTTTCATTTTAAGTCAAAAATAAATCATGATATCATGAGGCCTGTTTGCTTTCATTTCCAAGTGAAAAATGAGGAAAGTCATACTCAAAATTTTTTTCCATTCTTTCGCTGCCCTCGTTGGATTCGTTGCTTGCGTAGTGTTTTACTTTAATTTCACGTCTCAATTTCTTGTCTGTCCGTGTGAAATAAAATAAGCCATTTGTGAAATGAAATAAGCAGTTTGAAAAATCCAAAACTGGAGCATTTCATTTTTGTTTTTTATTATTGTTTTGAAGTTATGAAATTGGTTGTCTTCTTCATTTAGAAACAAGAAACAAACAGCCTTCAGTTGTCAGACAAATGCCCATTATTTGCTGGTCTAACAATTAACACCTCATCACAGAGTTCAGGCTCATCTATTTAAAACAAAAAAATTAAAATGTGAACGTGCCTAAATTTAGGATTTGATAGAGGTATGTATAGTCGTGCGTCATCAGCATAGCAATGAGAATTATGTCCACAGTGTTTGCAAAGGATGTCGTCAAGGGGAAGCGAATACATGGTTATTGCTCAAACAGAACGGGCTTTCGGGAGTGTTTACGTCCAACAGCAAGTGTTATCGGTCTGTGTTGACAGAAATCTCTGCAATTTCCTGTTATTTTGGGCCATTTAAAAACAAAAACGTCAATTATGCTTGAGCAAATCAAACCTCGATTTACAAAACTGGTAAAAAAAAAAAAAAAAGACACATAGATGTTATCTCATTCTCCATTTTTTGTCATTTTGATGGTGGCGCCGTTCGAGGAGTGGTGGAGAGCGTTCTGACATACTGCATCTCAACATGTTACTCCAGCTGCAGTATGTCTGACAGAAAAGCCCTGCAGAGGATAGTTAGAGAAGCTGAGAGGATCATCAGAGTTTCCCTCACCTCTGTCCAAGAACTTTTCCAGAACCGCTGCAAGAGCAGAGCACTGAACATTGTCAGGGACTCCTCACACCTTCTCCACAAACTGTTTGAACTGCTACCATCAGGCAAATGTTTCCGGAGCACTAATGAAGAACATCCAGAATGATCACTAGCTTCATTCCACAAGCTGTGAGAACACTGAACTGCTGATCCAGATATGCAAACACTTCTAAATTGCTTTAAGTTATTGGATCCTGAAGAAACGCTCTCTCATCTTGCCTGTACTACTGTGTATGTACAGCAAAAGGACAATAAACTTGATTTGATTGATTTCTTTCGGTGCTGGTTAAGATGTCTTTTGGGAAACGCGAATAACTGATTTATGTGGACCAAGGTTTGGCCACTTAGATTTAACTCAGATGTTTTTAATGCTTGGGCATTTTGCAGATAAATACCTGCAGGATTAGCCAAGATGCATGACTTTGCAAAGTGTAAACTGCACATTAGAGCAAACCTGAGGAGCAGAGTTAATGTCATTAAAGAATCAGTGGGCTGGGCTACTAATGAGGCCCGAGTGTGCTAATAAGAGGCACTGTAGGCTGTGGATGATTTGATAGTAATGAACTATTTACTGCTGTATTCATTATAAAATTACTCATTTAGGCTGTTTGGTTTATTTACATAAGGGAAAAAAAAGCAGAATTTGTGTATTATTACTGTCTTAATTATTTATGGAACAACCCATACGAGTGAATTCAGCTCTGAGCTCTGAACAGAAATAAGTACGAAGAATCAGTTTTATTAAAGTCCACCAAATTGTGGAGAGGGAGCTCAGACTGGTTCATCACATTAAAAACAGGAGAAACGGCGATTCGTGTTGGTTTTAGTGCTTCAGCGGTAACTTGAGAATGAGTGCTGCTGTGTGTGACGCCTCATTTTTAAATGACAAATAGAATAATTAACTTCAACGAGGAAGGAAATGAAGAGTCCCGCCATCTGACATGAAGGCAGAAGTGGTTTTTCAGATCAGCCGATAAATCTGGTGAACATTTCAGAGTTACAGTTCATATCAAAATGTGCCGCGATCCTGGGGCTGCTGCCACAAATGAGTTTTCAGGGGGTTTTGTTAAGTTTGGCTTCTGATCCATGTGACTGTTTTATTCTTAACGACCAGTGTGGGATGCTTCAAATGAAAGGAGCTATAATTTGATTATCAAGAGGAAGAAACTCTTTTGGTCAGAGGAAAGAATACGTAGAAGCAACGCAGAAATACATGCATAGAAGGAAGAGTACAATCTGTACTTTGTCACTTCAGGACACTGTGTGACTAATGGGTAAAAATGACATCTATATGAACTGACAGGTATGACTGTGGGTGAATATAACATAATGTACGTTGGCAGCAGGTGAAAACAAAAACGAAACGTTTCTTTGACACCTAAATCCGCTGAAACTATCAAGTCAAATAAGTCGTACGTCACAACTTTGCTAAAACGTGTCCTAACTTGGAACTGAATGTCTTGGACTGAGCTCAGCAGAATTTGTGATTCGAACGGAAAATTCCAGCTTAAAAAAAGCAACTCTGGATGACATTCTTTACCACAAAGCAAACCTAAAAGGCAATTAAATGTCAGCATAGTGAGCAGCAACATATCTGGTGGGTGATTCTGCCAAACAGGCGGGTCAAAGAAGTCTTGTATTCACGGGTTGGCGTGGAGCAGAGTTGAAGATAATTGTGGCCGGTTCTGGTACTGAGCTTTGCAGGCGAAAGTCCTTTTCTTCGTATTTGGCACCAATTTCTGATGAAGGGGTTGAATTTGGTCTTTCAAGATGTATTTTAA